CTGACGTATGTTGACTAATTTCATAACATTAACAGTGGATTAAGTCTAATTTTATTCTAAATTTAGCAAGGGAATTCAACGACAAAAGGAGGCTGAGCATGCATAAAGTAAATTTATGTCCATCCCACACATATCTGACTAATATCAGACATAGTAAACCGCTTTATGATAATGTAAGGGTTTTTTCTGTCACCAATTAAAACCCATTTATCTTTCAATTGACTTTTGTTTCTATCAAATTGTCCACATATACCTGTAGACCTGTATCAATGAGGCTCTTTATTATTCTATACATTTCGACCCCACAAGTCCACCACACATATAATATATTTATTTAAGCATAGCAAGTCTTTGGTTGTGCCTAGCAATAAGACTCTTGAGTTCATCATCGACTTCACTATTAGCCTGGGTCATTTCTCGTGGCGCAGCGAAGCACGACCGCCTCTTTTGCTTGTGTGATTTTTGTGCAGCTCCTGCCAAAACGCTGCCTGTCGCCAACCCCTCAATGCATGACCTTCTCTTTTTCTTCTGCACAGCCTTGACAGTAGAATCTGTGGGGTTATTTGTAAGTGTTGAAGTTGTTTCTGTAGTTAATGTGCTTGGTGCAGCAATGCARGATCTTCTGTGATGCTTGGGATTTGTTTTAGTTGTTTTTGTATCATTGATTGTCTGTTTGCCCGCTGTTTTCTTCTGTACTGAGCTTTGACTTTTACTCCTGCTCAAAGTAGCTCTTGATGTTGTTGGTTCAGACTGAAAGCAAAAAGGGGTGTTGAATAACCTCATAATGATTAGAGAATTAAACAAAGTGCAGGGGTATGAGGAACCCCCACACCACATTATATCCAAGCTGACTAAACAGAAACATTTGTTCAATCTGAAGATTATTTTGAGATCTACAATAATGTACAACATGGTGGCTACAGAATGAAAACATTGAAGTACAATTAATACAATGTAGGGTGCTACTTGACTTAAACTATTTTAGCCTGGCCCTTACTAGACACTGTTTAATAGAGTGAACGCAATTAATCCGTGCAACTTTACAAAATCTAAGTAGTACTAATTTGTAAGTGGACCTGAAGCAAGATGGTATAGAATGCTTCATTTGTATCAATTCAATTTAATTTGCGTACCACATGCACGATTTACTAAATACAACTAAATAGAACTATTTAGTTTGTACAGTTGCACGGATTAAGTGCGATCACTCTAATATATGTGGTACCAATATTTACTGGAATCATCTTGAAACCGAAATGCTAAATTGTACAAAAATTGTGCCTAAGAGAAATACAAATCTCACTGAACTCACCTTACTGGGAGCAGGACAAAAAGCAGGGTTACCAGGCTGAATACGGCGTCCATTAGAATCATATTTACATTTAGAAGCAGTAACCTTTTTGTTGTGAAGCTTCAGAAGGTCTTCTACGCTCATCTCATCTCCCTGATTCTCTTCAATTGAATTCAGTTTGAAGCCATTATCTTTATTAGAAGTGTTTTTACTTGACTTTGAAATAGTTGGTATGTCTGCCAAAGTATTTATCTTATTATTTTCTTTTTGGATTAATTTTTTGGAAGCCATATCAGTATTTGTTTCTTTAACAACATGGTTTTTAACTGAGGTAGTTTTGATGACTTTATCTTTGATACTTGCACTAGTGTCTTTACTGTTATTTGCACTTGAAGAAGCAACATTAGATGCATTTTCKGTCTTAATTCTTCTACCATTGTTATCGTATCTACACCTTGTAGCCATMACTTTTTGATTGTGYAATTTCAGCATTTCTTCCAAGCTTTTGTCATCTTCAGTACCTGGTTTGTTTTGGGATTGTTTTGGTTGTTGGCTGATTAATGTGGTTGGTTTTTCCTCTAATCTATATGGGCTTTGGTCAGGGGTTTTGGTAAAAGAGTGTGGCTGTTTGGAATCATCTGATGCTGACTTTGCTCTTAGGGGTAAAAGGGCTGATGCATCCTGGCTCTGAAAAATAGGATTAGAGAAAAGGAATGATAAAAGAAAATGCACAAAAACAATGGAAATAACAATAATAAAGGATAGTGCAGCAAAAGAAAGACTGTTAGTAGTGATTGGAAAACATTACAATTCTGGCATCACCACAGCATCAATTTTTTTTTCTGCCAATTTAAAAGCTATCATTCTTGTTTGTACCCAGATCATTCTCAGTTTCCCAATGGAAAATCAAAGGTTCTGGTTAAAGATGAATGAGTTGATTTGATTGGCCCTGGATTTTCCATTAGAAAGGGCCTGATAAAGATAATTCTAACTTAAACAATAGAGCAGATTTAGTATGAATGTTCAAAAAACTTGACACTTTTGCCAATGCCATACTGTGGCAGTAATGTATTGTTGAATCATTAGTCCATGCTTTTGCACAGTCATACAAAATCCCCTCTAACAGTCATCTATTTCATGYAACRATGTACCTCATTTGGAATAGTTGGCAATCGTCTTCTTTTCCTCTGTCCGTCTGCATTAAYTGCATTATTKACAGCCTTWGCAAGGAGTTTACGTTTAGGTGAATTAACAGCAGGAGAAGAATCAAGCTTACCACGAAGAGGTGAATGCAATGWCGATAAAGGAGTGTTGCTCTTTTCTACAAAAGGATGAAGAATTACATTGAAATTTTTCGAAAAGTCACTCTAATATTATTTGTGATTTAGAGGAAAGTGTGGTTTACATTGTATTCACAATATATGAATAAAAAATAAGTTAAAAAAGAATGGATAATAAATGAAAAGAAAATAGATGGGAAGTGGATGGAAATCTTTTCAAAAGCTTTCTTCATTACTTGATTTTTTAGTTAAGCATACTTTTCCTTTTCCAAAAGATTCCAATTAATAATTAACACCAATGATGAGTTCCACTTTCGAAAGAATGATTTCCCAAAAAATTCCAGTGAATTGAGAATTGTTTATTTCTGGGATGAGATTTCAAAATGTAAAACAAACGGGGGTCTTTCATATTTGACTATTGAAAACCTTTCTACAAAGATGTCTAGTAGAAAACTGCATGCTGTCAAAACATTGTCCAGTACCTGAGCGTAACGGAGAATCAGTTGTTGATGGAGGTGTAAAATCTCTCTTCTGATTGAATTCACATTTGGAAGGATTTTCCTGATTTTTACTGTTTATTTTATGAACATCTGGGAGCATCCTTCGCCCTTCTCTTCTTTGCATTGTAACAGATCGCTTCACACCGATTGATTTTTTAGAAGTTTTGTTTTTTGAAGCAGCTTTTGTTGCGGTGGT